CTGAACTTCTTTTCAATTCTTTTACTTTCCCAATCTATTTTAATATCTTCTAATTCTCCTTTATATCGGTTTGCCCTTCCTTTATTTCCTTCAATTAATTTATCAATTCTTATTTGTTGTGCTTCCATTACTTTTGTAACGATGGTATCAACTTGTTCTGATAATATCTCTTTGTCATCGTATCTAATTTCATTAATTCTTTGATAGACATCCTTTAATTTATTTATCATCATCATTCCTTCTTTTATTTTATTTCTAATTATTTCATTTCTTCTAATTATTTCTTCTTTTCTATCATAAATTCCTTCGATTCTTTCAATTCTATCTTCTGGGCTTTCATTTTCATTATCAGTTATCTCTTCTCCAATTCTATTTTCCCAATATTCATTATATTCTCGTGCACTTTTCATAATTTCATCAATCTGATTCTTAACACCATTACTTATTTCTTGTAATTCACTAAACACTTCATTTCTTTCTTCTTTGTTCATGTTCATTCTTCTTTTATTCTTCTTTGTTATTTAGTTTGTTTCTTTTCTTTTTATTTTCTTATAAACATCATTCATTTATTTTTAAGATCCAATTATTAGTTCAACGATAATTATTAATAGATCATCTATTTTTATCAATTATTATAAATAGATTAAATTAAAATAGATTATTTATTATTTTATTATTATTAATAGTTCAAAAACAAAAAGAAGTAATAAAAAGAAGAAAGAAGATAGATGTAATAGATACAAAGATAATATGATATTCACCATTTGATAAACATCAGAAATATTGAGAAATGAAAATATATGAAAAACAGAAAAAGAAGAAAAGAAACAGATAAAAAAAATAACAAATAATAGATATATCCACAATTTGATTTTATGATTATTGAGAAGTGATTGTTTCAGTTTCTTCAATATGCTCTATTTCTACAATAGAATTCATTTCTGAGATATGAGAATTAGAAGGTTCATCTTCTAATGTGTTGCCCGTGTTGAATGTGTAGAACATTAAGTATTTCATGTTTTTAATAATGATTGTTCGTAGTATTTTGTTGAAGTTAATTTGTAATTTTAGTGTTTCCAATCTTATTACTGTTTCTTTATGTATTAATTTATTGTTAATAATACAGGTATTATTTCTACATAAATTAATTCTCTACTTTGTATTAACTTCTCTTGTAATTCTTTGTCTTGTACCCTAACAAGTAATACTACCGTCTTTGGAAATAAGTACACTTTTATTATGAATGACACTCAAATAACATAAATAATAAACACTGATATTCTTACAGTATTGATTAAGATGTTTTTTAACCAAATGCAAGGTCATAGCCAGAGTAGAACTAGAGGTTTAAAGCTTGGATATGTTTTAGGGTTCTGTGTGGTGTCTCTAACGTGCTACCTTCGAATCCTTCATTTATATTCAAATAAATAAAATAATAAAATAACAAGCAATTAAATAAGTATTAATAAAATTTGTATTTATTATTCTGGGTCAGGGGGAAACTAATCGAACATATGATTCTTCTTCAAGTAGCTCTACCCAGCATATGTTGTGTTGTAGAACAATGTTTCAAGACATCAACCATGTTTTTTATTACATCGTTTTTAACTTCTTTTATGATGTCAATTTCAATTTTAATTTCTTTATACTTATTTCTTTTCTTCAAATACACTCTATTGATATTGTGATCTTTAATAATATTCATATCAAATAATAGACTAGTTTTATTACTTTTATCTAATACATATATCTGGTATTTTATGACATTATCATTCACTTTTTGATATTATTTGTTTGTTCAATATCATAGTGATGTCATTATATTGGAACATTGTTTCATATGTTGATTTCTTGTATTGTTTATTTCATTTATATTTTCTTATTATCTAATATGATAATACTAATATTGTCATGTTTCTCATTTTGTGATTTTTTATAACCAACACAAGAATTGTTAATATCTTGTAATTACAAAGTGGATAGTATTTTAATCATTTTTTAATATTTTATCTTTTCTATACATATTGAATATTATTCTATCTTGTATTTTAGTTAATTTGAGAAATACATTCTTTTTTAATATTGATTGACTTCAGTGCATTGATTATACTAGTTTTATCTATAAATTTTGATTCAATTCATCTTCTAAAATATCCATTTATTTAATTTCAATTTATTGATGTGTTTGTTTATCATTATTTTATTTATTTATTATTATTTATTTTTATTTTCAATCATTTTTTTTATTATTTATTCTATTTCTTTGATTTTATGTTTTATTATTTTTATTTATATTCATTATTCATTTCTTTAAATATCATCTATCTAGTATATTATTTATTATTTCATTCTTGTACAATATTACAACATTCTACTAATTATTTCATTAACATATTCATCATTCATGTTTATTATTCATTATTTCATTTATATTGATATATAGATTATATTTAGAGTTATCAACACCAATATATTTTGTATTTATTATTTATTTTATTATCTCAATTTCCATTCTATCTAAGTTATTCAATTTTACTACTGATGCAAGTAAAAGAAATGAAATAAAGAATAAATTAAAAACATACAGACTTGTCGTAATTAACCTAAATTAATTATTTATGTTTAATTCAAAATCAAATGAATTCAGTGAGTTTATAAATCTACCTAATTAAATTTTTATTTAATTTCAGTATTAATAAACATGTGATTCTTCAATAATAAATACTACTTTAATTACTTATTGGATGCATTAAACCATTCTTCTAATGTTTAATTATTCAGTAAAACAAATTAATGAAAGTATTAGTCAAATTAATAATTGTTATTAAAGAAAAGTATATTGAAAGTGAAGATGAGAAGAATAATGGTTCTGGTATACTAAAACCAAAATAAACATAAACATGGTTTATAACTCAATTATCAGAAATAAATATGAAATTATTTGATTCAATAAATATGTAATTTATCAGTAATGAACTTTGAAAAGAAAATAATTAAAACATAAATATGATTTTAATATAGTTTTATTCATTTTCAGAACAAATACTATAGAAGATTAGTGTTGGTGAATTTGTAAAGAATTAAATAATAACTCGTGAAAAGTATTATTAATCTATGATATAAATAGCGATACAATATTCTTGCTTCTACAAATAATTTTCTTGTTTAATTGTTAATTAATGAAATATAATATTTATTATATTAACTATGTTTCTAAAACAACATGAAATAGTAGTGATTTGAATACATGGGATTTAAATTATAATAACATCAAATTGTTATTAATTCAGTTTTTTATGAATAAATATCGTTATTAAAAAATAAAAAGAATATAAAGATATTAAGTTAAATTGAATTGAACAATTAACCAAGAAGATAAATAAAATAAGCAGGTTGATTGACCTGTTTTCACTGTATTGATTAAAAAGATAAAACAAACTACCAGATAAATATCCATTAATAACAATAAAAGAGAATGAAAATGATATGTAAATACTTCTTTTTAATCTTTTTTAAATTCTCTTGAACTCATAAGAGTTAAATTTAATATAAAAACAATGTTAATTCCCACAAATAAAATATTATAATGATCTTCTATATATTTTAAAATGTACTGTACTGAAAACTCTATCCTAGAACAAATAAACAGCCAAAATAATTATATAAGACTTCTTCTATTTTACTGTTTTAAACAAAAAATCAAATAAACAACTTTATCATCAAAACAACACTCTTTTTTTAAAAAAGTATAAAAGAGAATAAGAAAACTCCAAACAATACGAGAGCATGTCTTTGAAAATAATAATAATTAAATGAATAATACTAAAAAAGATGTTTGGTATAACCTTTTTCATTACAACTACGTTAACAACAATTTTTACTTATTACTAAAACAACTAAAAAAATAAATATTTAATCAACAATTGATACAAACTTTAGATAGAACTTACTCTGCTGAGTGAATTGTCATTAATAATTAAATTTATTTTATCACTACCATATTCATCTCTCTGAAAATCATCTACTTTCATCACAACCTTTAAAACAAATAGTATATTTTAATGTTACTTGTTATTTTCATACACATTAATACTTTTTAGTTGAGAATACTTTTAAAAGTGTTGTTTAACTCATTATACATAAATTCATTTGTATTACACAAAACTTTACTGGAATTAAAAGAAATTTTATACTTAAAAACACCGTCTTTTCTTTTCTCTTTTCTTCACATACAAATCACCTGTCTTTTGATAGTACTACTCTTCTTTCTATCTCTTCTTTATTTATCGTGGTAAAGAGTGTTTTGATTTATAGTTATTGATGTTAATAACAATTAATCAAAGAAGAAGAATTTTATGATTTAATTTTGGAAATAAAAAAAATTAAAGAAAAACCTAAAGAACTAATAAAACATAGAATAAAGAATGAGTTCTGATAATGAAGCTGATAATGATAGTTATAGTATGTCAGAGGACTCAAACAATGAGGACCTTGTAATAGATTATTACGACGATTTGGGAGTAGATAATTATATTGAAGAAAAAGAAATTAAAGGAGATGATAGAACAACAACAAGATTTATGACAAAATATGAAAAGGCAAGAGTTCTTGGAACTCGTGCCCTTCAAATTTCAATGAATGCTCCAGTTTTTGTTCCATTAAATGGAATGACAGATGCTCTTGAGATTGCTATGGCTGAATTAAAAGCAGGTAAAATCCCATTTATTATCAGACGTCGTTTACCAAATGGATCATTCGAAGATTGGAAAGTTTCAGAACTTATTGTTGAATAAAAAAAGATAAACAATGTTATAAATCCTTATAATGGATTAACAGTGATTGAGTACTTTTTGAATTTATATTGTCTTTTCTATTTGAAAGTGATTTCTTTTTGTTTTGTTTTTAGAAAATAATTTTTATAATAAATAATAGTTTAATTTGATTTATATTTTTTTTTTGTTGTAAAGAGATCTAGTAATTTTAAGATATTGAATAGAAGAATGGATGGAAATTGTACCTTATTGTTAAACAACCCTTATCGAGATTTTCGGGTTGAGGATGTTAGTAAATCACTTTCACAACCAGATGCTAAATCAAAAATTACAGCACTAACAAAAGTTTGTTTGATTAATTAAACTAAATAAAAAAAAAGAAATATTTATGTTTAGATTATTACAGCTGAATTAAATGGGGATCATCATCCAGAATTACTAATGGAGGTAATTCGAAATGCAATGCCATGTACTGAACATCAAATTAAACGATTGGTATTAATTTATTTAGAATCTATTGATAAAATGGATAAAGGAGAATTAAGACCAGAACTTATTTTAGCTATTAATGGTTTATTACAAGATTTAAATCATCCAAATGAATATATTCGAGGAATTACTTTAAAATTCCTTTGTCATGTATCAGAAAGAGAAATTATTCAGCCACTTGTTAATGCTATTTTAGAAAATATGACACATAAACATATTTATGTAAGAAAAGCTACTGCTAATACTATTGGTCATATTTATCAAATTGATCCTTCATTAGTTGAACACGCAGGGGATATTTTGAGAAAAGCATTAAAAGAAGAAAAAGATTCAATGACTCGTGTTGTTATATTTTCAGTTATTACACGTTATTTACCAGAACATGCTATTAAATTTTTAATTTCTATTTCACAACAAATTACTACATTTTCTGAACCATTTATAATGGTTGTTCTTAAATTTATTCGTTTAATTTATAAATCAACACCTCAATTTAAAAGTAAATATATTGAGATTTTAGGATGTCTTATTTCATCAAATTCATTAATGGTTAAATTAGAAGTTGCATCAATATTTCCTTTGATTACAGGTAATGCTCATGTTGTTACTCAAAGTATACAAACACTAGTTGATGTTGTTTGTTCTTCATCTGATGTTAATGTAAAAATAACAAGTATTCAAAGAATTAAAATGATTTGTTCAAGATATCCAAAAGTTATCAAAGGAAGTTGTATTTCATCATTATTAAGAATGCTTTCAATTCCTTCTATAAGAAAAGATGTTCTTCAACTTGTAATGTCATCACTAGCACCACGAAATGCTGGTGAAATAGTCACCGCTCTTAGAAAAGAAATAGGAAAAGATGATAATGAATTTGTTGTTGAAGTATTAATTGCACTTCGTAAATGTAAGGAAATTAATGAAGGAGTTGAAATTGATGATGTTATGTTTGAAGCATTAACTACACCAGAATTAGCTAAAGAAGCTATTGAATATATTGAATATCGTCTTCAAGGAGAACAAAGAGAAAATACAGTTGAAAGACTTATCGATTTCATTGAAGAGGTTAGTGATAATAAAACATTAAGAAATGTTATTTGGATGATATGTGAGTATTGTAATCATTATGATGAAGTTATCAATATGTTCAAGAGATTGATTGTTGAATTACCAAACAAAGAAGAAACATTTATAGAAAAAGACATTGAAGAGAAAGAAATAGAAGAAGAAAAGAAAGATAATGGAATTATTGAAAGTAAGACTGTTGTATTACCTGATGGTACATATGGAAGTGTTATAGAAACATATGACAAACAAACTGAAAAGAATAAATTCTTCCAAAAAGTTGGATTAAGAACAATGATTGAACAAATGGATTCATTAGTTATTTCCAGTTTGGCTATTGGTATTGCTAAGATTTGTAGTAAAGTTATAGGCAAAGAGGGAAATTGTATTAGAGCAAAAGGAATTCAAATATTACTTGAGATCATTAAAATAGAAAAAAAGAATGAAAGTCACAATAAAATGAATCAAGATTGTAAAGAAATTATTCAAAATGTTATTTTCATTATTAGTGGAAAGAAAACAGAATATGACGAACAAATGAAACAAATCGAAGAAATGGAAAAAGGTATTCGAAAAGAAATTGAAGAAGGAGCTAAAAGAAAAGAACATAAAGACATTCATCAATTTGATGAAAAAATTCATTATGAAATTTTCAATACTACTGATGAAGAAGAAAATGAAGAAAAAGAAAGTAGAATTGAACAAATTAAAGGAGAAAGAAAATTAGAGCGTTTAAATAATATTGTTCAATTAACAGGATATTCTGATCCATTTTATATTGAGGCTATTGTTACTGTTACTCATTTTGATATTACATTAGATTGTCTTATTATGAATCAAACACCAAGTACATTACAAAATATTACTATTGAACTCATTCCACATGGAGGAATGACTGTAAAAACTAAACCATCACCAGTCACTCTTGGTCCTGGTGATTTTGTCCGTGTTAGTTTAGGAGTTAAAGTTGATGCTACTACTGTTGGAGTGATTAGTGGTTATGTTAATTATGATATTGCTGATAAGGGTGTTACATATAATGCATTGGATGCTAATTTAATATTAAATGAATTAAGAATTGAATACTTGGATCAAATGAGACCATGTGATGTAGATATTGAGGTATATCAAAAGAAATGGATGGAATATGAATGGGAAAATAAAATTCCTGTTGATACTGAATGTACTGATTTAAAAGAATATGCAGATTTATTATGTTCTATTGCCAAATTACAATGCATCACACCAGCAGTAATGTTTTGTGATAGTATTGGATTTTTATCTGCCAACTTCTACTCTAAGAACTTGTTTGATGAAGATGCATTAATAAACTTATCTGCAGAAAAAATAGGAAATAAAATCAGTGGATGGGTTAGAATCAGAAGTAAAACCCAGTCATTAGCAATCAATTTAGGAGATCGTATTGTTGCTAACCAAAAAAGAGTAAATCCAAAATAAATTGAAATTTTTATTCTTTACTCAACAAAATCAAATCTTGTTATTATTTTGTTTTAATTTATTTCCTGAATTATAACAATGTTTCACTCTTTCTTCTCTCTTGGAACATTTATAATCTTCTTTCTGTATAGAGTCATTCTCTTATTATTTATTTTCTTCTTTGATTGCATTCTTTTATCATTTCACTCCTTTCATTTATTTTAGATATCATCACTTAATCGTTATTGTGTCATTTTGTAATTTGACTATTTGTCGTGTTCTTCTCATTAAAAATTAATCAAATACTACTAACCTATCCAATTGATTCCATTTATCTATATTTTACTTCAAACTAACATTATGAATAAAGGAAATGACTTATTAAAGAAGTGAGAACTCTTTGAATTATTTTATAACAAACTTTGTTTTGAAAATCAATAAGTAGTGTTTATAAAAGATGATCAGAAAAGATGAATGGCTAAAAGAATAATTACATCCTCCCATACTTGAAAGAAATAATTTTGACTGTATTCGTTGTGTTTATTAATCAGACTCATTTGATTTTGCAACAGATTTAAACATAAGATATAAAAGAAGATAAAAAGAGAATAAGGTAAGAAATAATGAAATAACAACAATTTATCAATAAACATAATTCAAATAGCAGATTCTATTTATATCACATGAAATGTTATTTGAGTTAAAAAAACAAAAAAAAGAAATTCCAAAAATAAACTTAAAAAAGCAAAGAATGGAAAACACAACTTTTGATAGTTCTGATCCTTTTGATTATCCAATTGAAAAATTACCAGACACAATAGGAAAGTATCAACGAGGATTATTGCTTGGACAGACATATGCAGGATTTATATATTCAGCAATGGAAAATGAAAGTAAGAAAATAGTAAGTTTAATACAAGTGTACCCACCATTTGTGACAATGAAATGGGAAGTTTGTTAATTTGATTAGTGCCAAATAATAAAAAAAAAGAATAATTTTTTTTTAAAAAAGAAAAGAAAGAAATAACAATAAAGGAAGTGATTGAATATCAAAAGAAATTAAATCAAGGGAATATCTTAAATATTGAAGAAGTGATTAGGGAAGATGGTCAATGTATATTAGTTGTTGAATATTGTGGATTAGGACAAGTTAGTGATTATATTTATTCAACAACAAGATTTAATGAAGAAACAGTTCAGATAGTAGTGATTCAAATTGTAAATCTTCTTCAATACCTTTCATTAAATGGGATTAGTTATGGACATTTACGAAGTGGAAATATTTTTATTAATTTAGAAGGAAAAGTGAAATGTTTTGGGATATTTCCTAAAGGATTTGAAAAAGCAGCTGGACCTTCATTTGGTTTGTTAGAATAAAGAAAATCAAAAAGAAAAAGATTAATAGAAATAGCACCACCAGAAATATTTAGTGGGAATAGTGAAATTAAAGAAAGTTGGGATGTATGGGGATTAGGAGTTATTATTATTGAAATGATGAATGGAACCGCACCATTTGCAGAGATGGCAGAATTATTAAAAGTATTTCAAGAAGGGAATGCAAAAATACCATTACCAAAGAAATCAAGTGAAAGATTAAAAAATTTACTTGGAAAATGTCTTAAAAAAGAAGCAAAGAAAAGATGTAAAATTAGTGAGATATTTGTAGATGAATGGATTAAAGATAATCTTTGTGTTTGTTTTTAATAAATTAAGAGATAATAAAAGAAATAATAACATAAATAGGAAAGTGAAGTTCTTGATAAAACAATATTAGTAGAGTTTTTAGAAGAACAAGTACCATATGAAAATTATAATATAAAAAGTGAAAAAATAAAAAAGTTTATTGAAGAATGTCCAACATTAAAAGCAATAAATGAAGAAACATATCAAGAAATTAGTGAATTAACTAATTTAAAAACAACAAAAACATTACTTAGTAAAGTTAAAAGTGAAATAGAAGAAAATAAAGATATAATAGAAGAAACAAAAGAAAATTGTTTAAATTTTATAAAAGAAATGGAAAAAGAAATAGAAAGAACAGAAACAGAATATAAAACAGTTGCTAAAGTAAAAGATGAAGTATATAGAGAAAGTGTTATGAGTTTAGCAAAAAAAGGAAATGGAATAAATCATCCAGAAAGTGAAGAATTACAAAATAAAATTAAAGAACAAATGATAACAAATCAAAAACTTGAAAATCAATTATTAAAAATTCAAGACACATTTTGTAAATCAAAAGGAGGAATAGAAAGTCTTGCAATTACATTATATGGAAAATTAACAAGTCAAACAATTAATGGACAAAAAAGTGGAAATTTATTATGTTCATTAGATAAAAAAGAAAAAACAAAAAATTTTAAAACAGTTTATGTTATTTTAAAAGATAATTTTTTCTTCTTATATAAATCATC